CTCAAAAGAGTGTCCTTTTTCTTTTAAGTGAAAGTATACTGCTGATTCTGGTCCTATGGCGTTGCTTCTCCTCTTGTGTACAGGCTGCTTGGTTTCTCCAGTGCAGAGCTCTAAACACACCTTATCTCACTGTAGTGCATACACTACATTACTCTTCTTATGTTTTGGTGTAGAATCTTTAGTGTGGACAAGCCTCTGTTTCATTGGGGTCTAGGACAACTCATCACCATCATCTCGCCACGGGACAACTCACTGTGGGACAATTTGCCACAGACAATTCTGTGTGGGATAATTCAACATGATAAAATGTTACCTACCACTGTTTTTTTGACATTATTTCCATTGAAAAAAATGGAAATAAGGATGGATAACATTTATCACATTGAGCTATCCCACAAGGAATTGTCCCACAGAGAGTTGGCCACAGCAAGATGGCCATGGCGAATTATCCCATTCCAGTTTCAGCGTGTTGGTGAGTTTTAAGAACACAGGTATGTGGTCTTTTCCAAATTTCTGTTTTAGCTTCCCTAATACACTGGCCAGATAAGGAATGACCAGATTGTTCTGCTAATTCAATTTTTTCAAGTGTGTTGGTGAATAGGATTCCTGCTCCATTCCCTCATGAGATGTCACTACTATGGCCAACATCCCAAGGAGGCCAAAAAAATAGAAGGCCATAAAACAGTTACCCATTCCTATTAGATGCTGAATATATCTTTCTAATATTATTTATTCTTTCTGCAATTTTAAATTCAAGAAGCCATAGTCTTACTTCTGTTTGAAGTTTTCATTCCACTGTCCCACATAATTATCTAGTCTTTCCCAATATTATCCCCATATTTATATATTTTCATTGAGAAATAGTCTGCTTAATATTGGCCTGAGATAAACAGATACAATAATGTAAAATTCTTGACAAGAACCATGCTGTAGGCCCAGAAACACAGCCTGTACCATGCTTTACTATATCACAGTGTGGTATAACTAATTGTTATCAAATCATACACACTTATTTGAAGACTATATCAAACAACATGTATGATAGAAAACCTAATATCTAGAACACATATTGCCTTACTAATGTTGAGGCTACTCCCATGATGAATTGGTAAGTCTGTGGGCAAGTTAATTCTTTGAGGTGATGCCATGTAATTACATATATATCTTCCAGTATATATATCTTAAAATATTTGTGAGGAAATTTTTTATGAGTGTGACTAATATCATTGGCTTTGGTAGGCAAAATGCAGAAGGAGAGTTTGCAAGCTTTCCCAGGGTTTTCTGCCAGTGCACCTGAATAATTTCAACCTAAAAACTCCTACCAGTTGAGAAATCATGAGCTGATATCACCCACACCATTTAATTGAATGAGGCCCATACAGATGTTAGCAAATATTGAATTACTGAATCTGGAGTTATCTGAATGTAGATTCAAATGAATGGGAAACTACTTTAAAATAAATTCATCTGAAGTTTTGCCTTTCTTTGTTTGCAGATTTTTTAAAATCAGTAGTTTCTATTTTTTAAACCAGGATTTTATGTTTTGTTTCATAATGCCAACTTAATAACACACCATTGTAATATCCACTCAGTTACATCTGAGCTGCCTACCTGCTAAAACTGCAAATTGTGCTTGAGGAAAAGACCATCATGAACAAGGGCATGATATCCTGAAAGGAGAGAATGAATGTGATAGTCCAGGGGTGTCAAACTGCCGGCCCACGGGCCGGATGCGTCACCAGGAAGCCACGCCCACCCCATTGCCAGCAATGGTGAAAAAGCTCCGATACATTGTGTGACGTCACATGACATCGCAAGTTTGACATGCCTGTGATAGTCTAAAGTATTAAAGGGCAATAGCAGTGGAATGGTAGAATATTCCCATGCGATCTTTAATTTCTGATCATTGGGTGAAGATAAGAAACCACAGAGCAATTTGAGACCTGTATGTCTAAATCACTATCTCCCATTATGTTTATACTTAGATACCATTGCATGGTAAGCAAGCTGCTACCTTACGGTTTATTTTGAACTACAGCTCCCAGAATGTCTTCTCAAATTAGCTGGGTCTGGTAGAATTAAAATCCAAAACATAGACAGCAGCTGGCTTGACTCTGGACTACAGCCATTACAACAGGCTGGTGTTGTATTCATCTAGAACAGGGATGTCAAACTCAATTTCATTGAGGGCCACATCAGCATTGCGGTTGCCCTCAGGGGGCAGGTGGATGTGGCCTACTGGGTGGTTATGGATGGAGTGGGTGTGACCTACTGGGTGGGTGTGGCCAGCTCTACATCGTTTGCATTGCAGGGGCCTGAGCAGGAGTGAGATAAATCTGAGGGTCTCTGGAAGAAGGAGGTGGGACCAGGGCAAGTGCCAAGGCATGGTCCACTGGAGGAGCTTTACAGGCCATGCGGGGGGGGGCTTATGGAGCTAAGACTGAATACGTTTCAGCATAGATGGCCACCACAATATTGTACATTGGCTCTCAGCTGGCCTGGGCCATGGCCAAGGCAGAGGGGGCCGTTCCCTCACTCTTTCCAGGTTGGCTTCGCGGGCCACATGAAACGGGCTGCGTCCGGCCCCCAGGCCTTGTGTTTGACATGTCTGATCTAGAATGAGGCCCCAAGCGGCACTTTCCATTGGTTACAGGTTAAAACTCCTGGCCTTCATGTTCAGGCAACACTGTTTATTACATTTTCTCTTTGATCTGTTGGATACTAATTAGTATTAAAGTGTTTAGTTATTTGATTATTTTAATTGTTAGCCTTATTGTATCTTTCCTAACCAAATGCTATCTGAATGTGCTGAACTTTTAAGTCCCACGACTTTACATTAACTTATTTCAGTTGCTATTAAGTTTTATTTTAGAACTAACCACTAAGGTCCAGTTTAAAGAAATGATTGTTTAGAGTTTTTAACTAAAGCAAAATGTCAGAGACGTGATGATCCAAGTTCTGCTATTCTGCGATTGTGACCTTTCCTGGACCAAGAGGCCCTTGAGACTGTGGCTCATGCCCTTGTTACCCTCTTGTTAAACTACTGCAGTACTTTAAACATCCTTGAAAAATAACCCAGAAGTAGCAGCTAGCATGAAAGGTGGTTCTTACCTATGAACAGATATAAGCAACCTTTGCTGTGGGATCTGAACAAATTGCCAGCAAAATTCCAGGCCAAGTTCAAGTTGCTGGTTTTTACCCATAAAACTTATACAGTATGGCTTGCATCTCCACTACCTTTTAAACTATCTGCTTGCACAAGGGAGTCTTTGTGAGTCCTCGCTTCCTGAAAGAGAGAGCTAGATGCCTAGAGAATGACACTTTCCCAAAGACCCCTCCCTGCTGATATATAAGAAGGCTGTCAAAATAGTATTATTTTGAACGGGCTTTGGGGAAGAAAGCTGAGTAGTGAATTTCAATATTTTATTGAATGTCTATGTCTATGGAGATAATCATCCAGGTAATGTTTATCTCAAAGGTGCTTTTTCCAAAAGGCAACTGGACTTTCTTGGGTTTTTTTCCTTTGAAAATGTTTCCCTTGTCATCCAAGAAACTTCTTCAGAAAACTGAAGACGCTTCTAGGGATGAGCAGCGAAACCTTTTCAAATGAAGAAGAAAAAAAAAACAAGAAAGTCCAGTTGCCTTTTGAAAAAAGCACTTTTCAGACACACGATTGGCTTGTTAGAATCATGTGAGGCACATTCATGATTGCAAATAAGCAATGTGGAGGACACCAGATTGGGGGATGTTGCTCCTGACCACATGTGTAATTTTTAATTTTTTGGTCCCATTATTATCTCCACTACTGAGATTAATCTATCTATTCTCCTCAGGGCACTGAATCTGGTTCTCTGACAGTCCTATGTCAACACGAATCACAACACAATAGTTTCTCAGGATCTCACAAAGTGACCTTCGGAAATTATTTTGGGACAAAAGATTCTTCATTTTAAAAAGATGTTTCTTTAAAGGACCTCCTTCCTTAGAGATGTATACTTGCCAGTTGCCCAAAACAAAACAAAACAAAAAAAAACCTGCCTTATTGAAAAGGTTTGCTAGCTGAATAGCCACTAGAACAATAAATGCAAAAGGCTATAAAATGAGCAATGTACATTATGTGGCTGGAATTAAAGAGCAAGACGAATGGAGGCAGGATGTCGTATGATCAAAGGGAATATATTGAACTGCTTATTCCTGTTCTTTAAGATAAAACGAGTGCTTCGGTGTAATCTTGAAATGGGGATGTAGAATAAATTCCTACTAGACCAAACAAGAAACAATGACTGATGAATTCAGCAGCCAGGAAAAGTAGTGATATTTGTAAGTAATACTACGTGGAGATTTTCTTGTGCCATTTCCCCAAATCATTTGAAGGGAAATACCGGATTAGCTAACCTTGTGTCAGGTCCATTAGATAAACTCTCCAACTGTTCCTGACTGAAGTAAGTAGAGCTGGGAGTAAAAGCAGATGGTTTTTATTTAAGGTTTTGTGTAATGGCTTACTCTTACTATTTTTTTAAAAAATAATAATAAAAGCATTGATTTAACGGGATAACAAGCAAAAGTTTCACAGTTTTATCTTTTCACAGGCAGCTTCATCCCAATAGGAAATGCTTTCAGCCAAACACCATCAGCCGGACTACACTCGGTAAGAAATAGTATGTTACTTCCTTTCTGCAGAAAAAATATATATTAATCTTTACAAAAATAATCTTCAAAGATTACCACTGAACAAAAGCTTTCTTCCACTTGCCTTCAATTACAAAGACTTCCCTCCAGAAAAGCTGTCTGCTTTCCATAATAACAAAACCAAAGAATGAACAATACAATATTCTCTCTCCCTGTAATTCATTTTAATTAGGTAAACTGTGATGGCAAATTCTCCATCTAAAACAAAATACAGACTTGCGGAGAAAAATTTTAAGAGCTCAAACTGACATGTTAACTGCAGTTTAAGATGAGAAGAAAAATTAATTTTTGCCAATTTATTAACTTAAGCAGGATTGCTTTTGTTGTTGTTAGTGTTTGGAGAAGCCATAAGAAGACTGACAAAAAGAGAAACATTCATTTTTTTATTTGCAACAGGTTATTGCAGGGGTCTTCAAACTTGGCCCTTTTATGACTTGCAGACTTCAACTCCCAGAATTGCTCAGCCAGGAAAATTTGGAGGTTCTTTGAAAATGCTGGAAAACTTCATTATCTTCTATTACATACTATTGGCTGGGCTCATCCAAACTTTCAAAAAACGCTTTAATTTCTTATGGATTGAGCGCTTGTAGCAATCTTAAACAACCATGGTGTTATGTCCTGGGCTCTGATTGACAGAGCAGGTGCAGGAAGCTGCATTGAGACCCGGGCAGACCACATGGCCTGCCTGGGCCAGACAGGCTGTCTCCGGCTTAGTGAGCATGTGCGGGAGCAGGAAAATATGTTGCATTCATTGGCTGACGCTGTCCCTTGCAAAAGGTATAAAAGGGGGCGGAGCCATTTTGTTTGCTGTTCTGTTGAAGCTGAATAAATAAGTACCTGTTTGCTACTCTGCCTCGTTCAATGCCTACCAACGGGAGAAACAGAACATATGGGAAGAAGTTTGACTGGAAGAGGTCTGACAGCTGTCTTTCTGATCCATCAGTTTTTCTTATATTGCCATTTCCTGTTTTACAATCTCTGTCCCTCCAGACTTGATTGGAGGTTTTTAATAGTAGCTGTTCCTAAACTACAACTAGCCAGTCTTTCAGCTATAGATAGGTGGGTGTAAAAAAAAAAAGACAAGATTATTGTCACAAACACGATACGTAAGCATGCTAGTAATTTAAAATTACTACCTTGGTTTGGGCATTAAAAATAAAAAGGGAATGGAAAAGAAAAACTTTTAAAAAATTAATTTTTAAAGAAGTATCTGTCTGTGGTTTAAACCTGGCTTCTCTGGAAGGGACCTTAATAAAAGAGATCAAGGTGACAAATGGTAAAAGAAAACAGCCAGCAGGAAGGAAATAAAAACATGAATTTGTATATAAACATCCCTATTCCAACTTTTTGGCATTTTGCGGGAGAGGGGGTATGAAAACAGAAAAGATGGCAGTTGCAACAGTTCGATCAAAGCCCTAGTTGGGTATAAAATAATTTAAATTGATTTACAACTTAGAGCCCTTTATAAAGCATGGTTAACTGTCTTTTCAAGTGGGGCAGCCTTATAATTAAGTCTCCCCTGGATGTTGGCTGCTGTAATATTCCTTTGCAAACTAGAAATACCATAGATACTATGTGTTAGTTAATCTTCTTGTATATCTTTGCTTATCCTTGACTTTACCCTTCATATAATTCTTTGTATAAATAAATGGTTGTAGCTGAAAATCAGTATGTACACATGCAATGTTTAATTGGCTTTCTGGAATCCTGGATTACAGCATGGTTTAGATTTATAAACGGGGGTTCTTTGGGGTGAAATTGCTCTGTATTGAGCTACAGTGGTCCACAAAATTGTACAGCAACAGTTCTCACTGGATACATCAGTGCAGAAATCCATTATGCTGTTTATTACTTTTTTCTTTTTAATTGAAGTGGTCTGATTTTTCTTCTAATAGTATGCAAATTAACATCTTTTAAAGTCAAAAGGATGTTTTCTGATTAAAGAAAAACGGATTGAAATAATTGTACAGCCTGACTAATTTTAGCTGTTGAATTATTTAATCTGCTTTTCAATTCATCTTTTTTAAAAATGAAATTCCTATAGGCTTTGTTACGGCAGCTGTGTTTGCATTTCATGTATGTATGTTTGTACATTACAGATTTCAATAAAGTACAGTCTGGCAGAGCTTTTCCTCTAGGCAGATTATAGATTCCCATGCTCATTAAATCTTTGAAAGACTGTAATCAAATAAGGATCACAGTTATCCAAAAACTCAGGAAAGCAGCAGCAGTACCCCTTATTATATAATAAGACCAGAGTTTTGTTACTTTTTGCATTTGAATTACTATCATGCCTGGCTGAGAAATTCTGGGAGTTGAAGTCCACAAGCCATAAAAGGGCCAAGATTGAAAACCCCTGCCTTAACCACTAGACCAAACTGGTTTTTATTTTTTTCAAACTTTTACAATAGGGACACTGGCAGAAGCAAGGGACAATCGATGTTGGATGCATTTCTCCATCTTTACAAGCAGGAGTATTCTGAGCAGAATACTATTTAGGAAATGCCACAATCCACAGTATTTTGTATCAAATCTCTTTTTCTCATAACCTGGATCTTTTTTCCACTGTGCTGTTCAGCATGAAATATAACCTTAATCAACTCAGCTGACTCTCATGTCAAGTTACTTCATTAACTCCAGAAGTGATAATGAGTATATTCATATAACAAGCTAAGCCATGTTGAGAACTAATCATGGTAACCCTCTTATCTATCACTTTGGAATCAGATGGCATGGCAAACTGTGATTTGCTGGTTTATCCACAGTAGCTGTTACTCCAAACAGGGGGTCTTCAAACTTAGCCCTTTTATGACTTGTGGACTTCAACTCCCAGAATTCCTCAGCCAGGCATGCTGGCTGAGGAATTCTGGGAGTTGAAGTCCACAAGTCATAAAAGGGCTAAGTCCACAAGTTTGAAGACCCTTGCTCCAAACAGTTTGGCTGCTGTGCAACAGAGAAGCTGCAGATAACTATAGATAACTTTTTTTTTTTGGTCAGGATTATATCCTAAGGGGTAATGCCTTAGCTAAATTTAAGCACTTTTAGATATATTAACTGATGCCATTTTATGCTCTTGAAGCAAAGAGAATTGGAATGGTCAATAATGACTAGTCCCAATAACTGGGTAGCTCTGAGTTCCTTTAGTCCAAGCTAAAATCACCAGGTGAGTTATTTACATATAGTTCACATCAGACTGCATAAGGTATGTTGTGCAAACACATTCAATAATAAACATAGGTGGAATTACACAGTTCAGCCCTTCCCTGCCCCAATAATGTTGTGTTCAGTAAATGCCCTCAAGAAAGGAGAAGGAACAATTTAATATCAGCAATTACAGCTAGCTCCATCTGGACCTTCAGGCACACTTTTTGCCATCTCCAAATCAGGAAAAAAAACAAACTTATTTTACCATAAGTTCAAAATATACAATATTGTTATTTTTGTGTTTTTAAACTCCTAGTCAGGATAATAAAGGAAAAGAAAGAAAGGATGGGAGTAGCTGATTTTGTAGTATTTGACTTTCATATATATGTATGTATTTATGTATGTATGTATGTGTGTGTGTGTGTGTGTGTGTGTATATATATATATATATATATATATATATATATATATATATATATGCGATTAAAAAGGTTAAAAATATGAACCCTGGGAATATTCATGATGAAAATATAAAATGAGCACCAGGGTAATAAAAACTGTAAAAGTTTTTAATAAATTAAAACTATAAAAGTTTTAAAAAGCGCCAAGCTTTCGCCGTCACCTGCCGGCATCCTCAGGGCTGGCGCACCAGAGAATGAGAAGGTCTTTTATAGGCGTGTCGAGGTTTGCGCCCGGCTCCTTGATCTTGTTATCGGGCCTAATTGGTTCAGCCGTGTGTAATTGACCTGTACTTCTTTTCTCTTTTTGGTTGCATTTTTATCCTCATCCATCTCCAATTCTCCCAACTCCGGATTAGCTAGATGGCAATTCCGGTTATTTCGGTTGCCTTTATGTTCTGACCTCCCCTCAGGCTCAGGTGGTAATGCACATTCCACATTCCTTTCTCCACCATGTCTTGTCCGGTTGTTACTTTTAGAATCGCATTCATTTCCGGTCTCAATACTTTCGTTTTTAATGTGTCCGTCATCCTGGTGATCTCGTAAGTTGCTACGGGTCCGGTGCAGCGTGGGGGGGTATTCCGCAAGGTGGAGGGATCGTCCCTTATTCGTTGTCATGCCCAGCTGTCTTGCGCGTGTCCTACTCCAGTACTCAGTCCAGGGTGTGTGTGCACAGCAATCAAGCCGCGTCCCTCCTGGTTGCAGCGCTCTTCCTCAGTTCTCCCCTTTTTTTACGCTGTTCAAAGCATTCGCGTGTGTTCCATGGGAGTCTTCAGGATCGTCACACCCCCTACCCGACGATCCTGAAGACTCCCATGGAACACACGCGAATGCTTTGAACAGCGTAAAAAAGGGGAGAACTGAGGAAGAGCGCTGCAACCAGGAGGGACGCGGCTTGATTGCTGTGCACACACCCCCTGGACTGAGTACTCGGAGTAGGACACGCGCAAGACAGCTGGGCATGACAACGAATAAGGGACGATCCCTCCACCTTGCGGAATACCCCCCCACGCTGCACCGGACCCCTAGCAACTTACGAGATCACCAGGATGACGGACACATTAAAAACGAAAGTATTGAGACCGGAAATGAATGCGATTCTAAAAGTAACAACCGGACAAGACATGGTGGAGAAAGGAATGTGGAATGTGCATTACCACCTGAGCCTGAGGGGAGGTCAGAACATAAAGGCAACCGAAATAACCGGAATTGCCATCTAGCTAATCCGGAGTTGGGAGAATTGGAGATGGATGAGGATAAAAATGCAACCAAAAAGAGAAAAGAAGTACAGGTCAATTACACACGGCTGAACCAATTAGGCCCGATAACAAGATCAAGGAGCCGGGCGCAAACCTCGACACGCCTATAAAAGACCTTCTCATTCTCTGGCGCGCCAGCCCTGAGGATGCCGGCAGGTGACGGCGAAAGCTTGGCGCTTTTTAAAACTTTTATAGTTTTAATTTATTAAAAACTTTTATAGTTTTTATTACCCTGGTGCTCATTTTATATTTTCATTATGAATATTCCCAGGATTCATATTTTTAAGCTTTTTAATCGCATATATATATATATATATATATATATATATATATATATATATATATATATATTGTCCAAATAATAATGATCACCAAGAGAGTATCTATCAAAAATAGAATTTAATCCACCGAGCTTTCGTCAAATACACTTGACATCGTCAGGGTTAAAAGGCAAACGCCGGGGGGGAGTCTTATATACAGTTGTTTAATGCCTGTTTCCGGCTCCTGGAGCGCGTCATAGGCCCCAGCTGATCGGGTTGAGTCCTAAGCATACGCCCCACATCAGCATCTGTCCCCGTTCCATTGCTGGTTTGCGTTCGATTATATGTTGCTTCGTTGGCTGTTACCGGGTTGGGGGTCCAGATCCTTTTACCTTCCCTGCTCATAACCCCTCCACCATCCCACACACAATTTCCCGGCGTTTGCCTTTTAACCCTGACGATGTCAAGTGTATTTGACGAAAGCTCGGTGGATTAAATTCTATTTTTGATAGATATTCTCTTGGTGATCATTATTATTTGGACAATATGAATATTCCCAAGAGTCGCATTTTTGTTTTTATTTCTAATATATATATATATATATATATATATATATATATATATATATATGTATATATGTATATATGTATATATGTATATATGTATATATGTATATATGTATGTAATGTATATATATATATATATATATATATATATATATTCAAT